TTTGAAAAAACAGGACTGAGCTCCCACCTCCCAAAAACAAAAAAAAAAATTTTGAAAACACCTGCCATTATTGAAATACCTTTGTGTTTACAGCCAATACTGCCCTCGTATCCTACATATCCAAAAAGGGCAAAAATGTGATGCTTATGAGCACTCTTCATAGGGATGGAAGAATCAGCAGCCGGGAGGAGCACAAGCCAGAGGTCATACTTGACTACAATGCTACCAAAGGAGGGGTTGACAACCTTTACAAGCTGCTATCCTGCTACAGCTGCCAAAGAAGAACATTACGGTGGCCACTTGTAATTTTCTTCAACATCCTAGATGTTTCGGCATACAATGCCTTCATAATCTGGATGGCACTTAACCCCGACTGGAAACAGCGTCTTTTTCGAGAGGAACTAGGCAAGGCACTAGTGACACCGCACACACAGAGGAGACAACATGTGCCCAGGAACCCAGCTTCTCTTGCCATCGTTAGGAGGATACAGGAGGATCCTGCGTCCCACCTGCAGGACCCACAACCACAACCACAACCTCCCGCAGCCACTGGCAAAAAGAGGAAGTGCTGCAAAGTGTGTGGACCCTCAAAGAACTCCAAGACACAGACCACATGCACCAAATGCAAAAATTACATCTGTGGTGCACATACTCTGAAATTCTGTCCATTGTGTGTTGTGTAAGAAGGCCGGCCCATCCACATACACAGTCCAGTGTCAAAATTATTTGAGAGATGCATTTTTCAGAGGTACTGCTTCTCAATGAGAGTGAATAAAATGTTTTTGGTACTGTTCACCAATTGTTGTAAATAATTGCATTTGTTCTAAGATGCATTGTTGAGGGCTGTTTAGTCAATGATCGCAATGTTCCATTTCAATTTTTATCTGAATTTATGCTGCCAAAATGCATACTATGCTTCTTTCTCACCCCACAAATAGGACTCCATATACAGCCACAAGGTGCTGCATAGCTCCCCTTCAGAACCACAGACCTCCAGGGACTCTGTGCTTTGCTCTCACCCACCCCAGAAATAGTGCTCCATAGACGGACAAAAGGCACTGGCTAGTACCCCACAAATACTGCTCCAAAATTAGCCACAATGTGCTGGCTAGCTCCCATGGACAACCCACCCAAGCCCCAGGAACTCTATGCTTCATTATCACCCCAGAAATAATGCTCCTTAGGAGGACAAAATGTGCTGCCTAGTACCCCCACAAATACTGCTCCAAAATCAGCCACAATGTGTTGGCTAGCTCCCATGGACAACCAACCCAAGCCCCACGGACTCTATGCTTTATTCTGTCCACATAAATAGTGCTTCAAACAGGCCGTGCTGCACTGTGCTTCACCCCCCCCCACCCCCTCCCCACCAGCCTCTGCCTCACTTTACCCAGGGAGGAGCACACACCGCCGGTCAAAAAAGTGAACACCACACAAGGGTTAAATAAGTTCAAAAATGTTTCCATCTTGTTTGGCAGTAGCTTTACTTTAGTGTCTTGTGGGCCTGCAGACCACACCGAAATCCTAGTTAATCAGTTTGTATGTTATAAATACAGTGCAGTATGCAAAGAACAGTCATAAAGATCTGGCAGCGAGACCACATTTTAGTTACCATTCATGATAAATACATTACTTATACAGTATCTTCAATGAATCTGTTAATTAGGTGCCGCTCAAGTGACTTGCAGAAAATAATTCCTGAAACACACTGAAGCTGTCACACACAGCTCTACAGGACTGTAGAGCTTCTTTACAAACTAGCCTGCTTGACTTGCCCTCTTAATAACTGCAGTGCTGGAAATATAAGACTATCCACTCATTTAACAAATTTTATGACGGGACTGGAGCCATTACTGCTGTTGCCAGCATGGCACTCACTTGGTTCATAATTTAATAAAATGCTGCTTACAGGCTTCCCGACTACTACACGTTGTTTCTGCCTTGAAGGTGATTAGAGTCAATATTGACATTTGTTGTGTGGTCTGTGGGGTTTCAAACATGCAGCATAATAGGCAGCATCTCTGCAAACTCTGATTTGTGTGTCTTGTTGAATTATACCACAACCAATTTTATGTCCCCATACAACCACCTTGCTCTGAGCGTCACTCCGAGTTTCATCTCTGAAGTGGCATTTTTCATTTCTAAACATGAGCAGCATCGAGTCAGTGGCCACTCTTTTTCAATTAGCGATGGACAACATCATTAAAGTTTACTGAACCACCAGTTTGTCATTGTCGGTTAGTGTTTGCATCCTTAAGGCCAATGATCCTTTCTGTTTACCCTACAGCACAGTCTGTGTCTGTGCAAACATACAGGATAGAGTAGATATATAGCAAATGCAGTGTCTAGTATTGGCTGTTAGGTTTGTCTTGCTGTCCTTTGTCATATACAGATGGGTGATGATTTAAAGGAAAGAACAAAATAAATGAGTGGAAAATATGAGTGCAGATGGCGGCATGGTTTGGGTTCACTCGTCCCCTTATGTTGTCTTTCTACTGCTACCAGGAACCATTCTGTACCATTACCAGGGTTTGCGTGTTTCAGTTGCCTTAGAAGCAAACCATGCCTGGGCTGATGCTGCATATCTGGTCCTGCTCAGAAACAGGTCCCAAAGTGTGCTACTCTGCCCCCCGACCTGGTTGTCTCTGCCACTACATTCTGACTGGCAGAGAGAAAACTTGAGCAGCAGGAAGTGTCTCAGCCAAAGAAAGAAACCCACCCTTTTTAAAAGAAAGAAAAACAGAAGAAGGAGATGGCCACACATTGTGTAGAAATAGAAGGAAGCTACAACAGTTAGTTTGGTGAATCTATGTTTGCTCTGTGGCATGCGTTGATGTTCACTGTGGTTGTACAGAAGATGGCATGACATACTCTGCAAGAGCAATGCTCACACTGTGTAATGGGAACCAACTTCTACCGGGGCCAGGCAGCCCATGCCAATAGCTGGACAGCTGGCCTGAGTACAGGAAGGTTTCTGGTGGCAGTGGAAAGCTGGCTGTAGAGTGATGGGTTACTGGATCACCATCCTATGATGAAACATTTCTATCCTGATGGGAATGGTGTCTTCCAGGAGGGCAGTGCCGCCACTGATAGCACATGAGGGGTCACTGAATGATTTGAGTATGAAAATGAGGTGAATCATATGCTATGGGCTTCACGCTCACCAGATCTCAACCCAGTTGAACACCTACGGAAAATTTTGGTCTGACCTGTTAGACGGCGCTCTCCACCACCATCAAAACACTAAATAAGGGAATATCCTTTGGAAAAAATAGTGTTCATCCCTCCAGTAGAGACTAGTAGAATCAATGCCAAAGTGCACTGAAGCTGTTCTGGTGGCACATGGTGGCCCATCATCTTACTAAGACACATTATGTTGTTGTTTTTCTGAATTAAAAACCCCTACAGACTTTGGTGGAAAGGCACTGGGTCCTGTTTTATCAACTTGAATTATCTATGAATTCTTGTATTCAACACCTTTATAAATCTTGTGCTTGACTGATCCTAGACAATGCTGCAGGGGTTTGGGAGGTTAGAAATTAGCAAGGAGTGATATAGTGCAGAACAGAGTTATGCACTGTTTCCGAAAGGGTACAGAAAACAGCCCTAAACCTTGCACTTAGTGAAGTGTTGGTTGGAAGCTAGACCGAGTGCAGCTTAGTTCCTAAATAATAGCAATACAAAATACATTCAGCTTTACCAGACCTAAAGTATTTTCATATTTTAGACCACATGTGAATGTAGCTCATGCTTGGAATGACTTACAGTGAACAAATAAAGGCGTAAAGTCTCACTCACTGGCTCCTTAACAGGACATGTGAGATCATACCTATAATCTTGTGCTATGGTTTACCAGAAATCCAGGGAAATAAGTGGGAAAAGGTTTTTCAAATGGGTCAGTGATAGCAGAAAGAAAGACCGGGAACTGTCGATGGAAAACATTTAAGGACATCAGAATCTGCAGTCCAGCTGCCAACCCACTCCTTTTTGTGAAAAAGACATTTTTTGCATTTGCATCTTTTTACTTTGTCTGGTTTACCAAAGCACTCTGTGTCCCAGCTGACACAATTCCTGTTTTCTAGTGTCAGATGTTCTTGACTTTATGACAGATTTTAATTATGCATCCTGTGACTCAGTGTTCAGCATAGCTGTACTGACCTTTTTGCTTTGCACTAGCTCCTGCTTTAGTGTCTCCTGCAACATTCGCATCCTTTTTCTGTCTGCACTTCACTCTTACAAGAACAATTTGTGGTCTAAGGAAAATGCCTTTTGCCATTTACTGCTCTAATTTTTATCAGATGATGTTGCACTCAGTTTCCTCTCCATAAGTGCATCAGCAACATTTGCTGATCATTAATGCTCAGACCAACAGGCCGTCTTGCAGAAACAAAATAGAGGTTTTATGGTCACAATAACAACCAGTTGTGTTTGTTTTAACCTCCAGTGCTTATTTCTTGCAGCTTGTCTTATGTATTTATCTGTGTTTGCCTTCAGATTCTTAATCAAAACTGCATCCCCTCTTCTTCTTCTTATAATCATTTTTGAACATATTACTCCAGACTCTGTCACTTCACACCTGTTCCTTTGCTACCACATGACTACTGATTTCAGCCAAGCCAGTCAAGCCTGGGAACCTGTAGACAAAATGGTGTTTGTACATCCGTCCAGCAGAGTGAGCATGTGTGGGCTAAAGTGAGGGAGACAAAAAAAGCCACAGAAAAATATCCAATTAAATAGACGACAGTAAATCAACATCTTTTCCCTCTGTGTGTGCGTATTTTTACGACATATGCATTTATGGAGTTCAGCAGCCGTATGAGGAAATTAGCCTGTGTATCCGCCGAGGTCCTCCCGCCCCTCTGTCTTGTTCTCTAATCCGCCCACATGTATCGTCTGAAGAAAAAAATAGTGCAGAAGGTGACGCTCCTCCAAAGGAACAGAGAGGGAAAGGCAGAGAGGTGTCTACAGGCTGCATGTCCATTGAAACATTTCGAAGGGGGAGACAGAGGAAGAGGCTGAATGGTAGCTACACCCTGCGCCTGGAAGCGTAGAGACACTGTAACAAAGGCTGGCAGTTATTTTTGGCAATAACAAAGAGGTGGGAGAGGGGCTCTGAAATCGAGGGAAATAGCAAAAAAAAGACAGTTTTCAGGGGGACTTCTGCTTCATTTCATCCGAAAGACTCATCCCTTGTCATCATCAGCATGACCATAAGCTATAAGTAACATTCGGCAATAACGTTGTCCAAACGAGATTTTCAGCAACAGACGCGCGCAATCCTATTTTGGTTTATTATAATCGGGGGTGGGGGGGTGGGGGGGAAGCTCACCTGAATGCCTGCGACAAACTGGATACTATCTGAAATCATAAAGAGCGATCTAACAAAGAAACTACATTTTGATTGATCTTAAAGCTTGATGTGCGTGTTTCTGCACGCACTCGAAACGAACCTGAACCAAAAGCAAGTGAGTATTAACCGTGTCTGTGTATATGTCTGTATTTTGGTGGCTTTATTCTGCGTTTATCGATCTAATAACAACGCATTTATTGGACAGCTCTAAAAGAAAGCAAAAGGAAAAGGAAATACAGCGTCTAGCCTGCATTCAACAAGTATCGTTTTAACCACAAGTGCGATTTTTTTCTGTAACCTCTTTGTATTTTGCTTAATATCTGGAGGAATCAGAATGTGTGACAGTTGTTCCAGTTGGAGTCATAAAAATCTTGGCTGTATTTTTATTATATTTTATAGCTGCTATAATACAAACAGAGATGTACTTTTACACAGTTTTAATTATCTGATATGACGCCTGGTAATTTCATTTATAAATCCTGACATTCCTCATTGCACAAATGGTTGGTGTTTCCCCATCTACACCACTCGATCAGAGCAGTTTCATGTGTGCATTCCTCTCTGCATCATTTTGTCTGTCATCGTGAGTTTCTTGTTTCCATGTGTGTATTGCTTTGCGCATTTATATGCATGTATTTTGCTATAATTGCATGTGTCTTTTGTGTGTGTGTCTGTATGTGTGCATTGTGGCAACACTGGGTAAGTGTCAAGGCCTGAAATGGAGATTTGATAAAGGAGCCTTAGGAGGATGGTGAGAGGGGCTGACACACAAACACACATGAGAGAGGGAGAGGAGAGAAAGGTGTGAGGAAGAGATGGAGTGGGGGGCACAGGAAGGACATCACGTCACTGAAATCTCATCCAGGAAATCTGTGGGGGGTAGTTACATGTCTAGACGTGGTCTTCTTCCCCCTACAACCCTTCCCACTCTATAACCCTTTGGCAACTTGCTCCATCTGCATTCCACTGCATTACACACAAAGTCTCTAGTTTCATAATGCCTCTTCTTCCATCACTTTCCAGCAGCATGCCTTGCTTTTACTGCCACTTGGCTCCGGCGTGCTCTTCTCCTAATGGGAACTCTGCATCTCTGCCTCCATTTGCTCTCTCTCTCTCTCCCTGCTTTTTCCTCACCTCAGTCCTGCATTATAAATCAACAGCTGGTGCTATTTTTAGATTGAGGGTAACCCAGAAAACACCCCTTCAGTTTTAGCTAAAAAAAAAACCCCACAGGAGATAGTAGCCTGCTGTCAGTAGATGTGATTGGTAGCATAGTAATAGGGCTCAAAAAGGAGGGTGCTGCTGTTTAAGCAATGGGGGGAATAAATCTATTTTGAGGCTGTGATTGAATTACCTATCTGTAGTGCCCTGGGTGTATGTGCCTCTGACCCCTCCTCTCTCTTTCACTGTGATGGTTTCTCTCTCCTCTCCCATCTTCATAGCAATGATAAGAAGTTTTCCCTCTGTCCTTCAGCTAATTCCTGATCGAGCTGCCTCCTAAACCTTTAAATCCTTGACCTTGAGGCTCACCCTTCATCTTCTCTCATCTCCTTTGTAACCCAGTCCTCTTATTTTATTTCTTCACATTAAGACCCAGCTTCTCTCCCTTCTCCCACTGTGAGTCTAATCTGTGACAGGCCTAACCTTGCTCTGTGTCGAATCGCTGGCTAGGTCACAGGTCAGCAATGAGTGCAGTAATACTTCTCTCCTCGTCCTATTCGCCTGTCAGGCCCTGTGTACCACATCATTGCTCTGCTGGATCATAATGGTCCTAATCATGCAGGAAGGGCAGCTTCATTAATTAAGAGTAGACAGGTGTAAATGTCCTAAGAGAGAGTTGGGAGATGTCTGAGCTAAAGCTATTGCTCTTAATGTAAATCCAAGAAGCAGATATTAAAGTTTCTTTCTTTCTATTAATTCAGACTAAAAATAATTCCTCCCGCTATCCCATGGCAGTTTTTTTCTTGCTCTCAGTGGTGTTTCAGGACGTTTCTGACCTCTCCTACACCAATCATTGCTCCTTGAAGGGAGCTTTAGCCCTTCCATCATGCATATCTTTCTGTCACTGATGAAGTCTCACCCAGCAGGTAAATCTATCCCAAAAAAACTGCATTTGTCCTGCTTTGAGCAGGTAGGATTTTAGTCACGGACACTGACTGAGCTTTCAAAGCTCTATCAAAGGCTCCATTGCTGCTAGTCTAGTCCTGAAAATTGCCTTGTGTATAATCATTCCTAGCCAGGCTAAAAGGAAAAAACTGGGGTATTTTTTCTGTCATAAGAAAAGTTGACTGGAGGGGATTAGAGCAAGAAGAGCAACAACACCAGCAGCGATTTAGGGAGGGGTGGGGAGTATTTGACCAAAATGTACAAGGCTCAAAGCCCCTGTGGGGGTGTTGGTGCCGCAGTATGTGATGTGGATTGGTCAGCCCCTGGAGACCGCCACGGCATTGCTGAGTTGAAGAGCTGCCTCTCAGCCATTTCTGCTTGCTTAATTGATTGGCTATTTAATTCGTGTGCTGGGAATTGGCTCAGCTTTATTATGATGAGGAATGCCTTGTTTTTTTTTCCTTTTCTCTCTGTGCACATTAGCTGTCTCAGGGCCACTGGATTATTTTTCTCTGCATACACACCCTGTCTGTTTTTGTCTTTCTCTCTACCCATTCATGCAATTCCTATCAAATTCATATGCCACCTACCTCTCACCACTATCCTCATCCAGGCACACACACTTTCACACACCCTGTCAGGCTCCTCTCCTGGGCAGAATCAAATTTACACCATGAGGTGCAGTGACGATCCGAGGTGGGGGGACACTGCGTGGTGTGACACTGCACTAAAAGGGGAGGTGACCGCAGTGCTTTCACCCTGCTGCTGTGCCTCGCTTTCTCCTGTTGGGGTCCTCTCAACACTGGGGAGTGTGTGAGAAAGGAGAGCAGAGCAGAGGAGAGGAAGGAAAGGTGGAAAAGGAAAGAGAAATGGTGGTGGTGGTGGGGCAATAATGATGAAACAAGGGGAACGTGAAGCCTTGTGGTTACATTCTTTGAAGCAGGTGGGGAAAAAATGGATGCTCACCAGAAACACATACATAATTTGTGCTCTCTCTCTCACACACACACACCTACAGAAGCATATTACACACCTCCCTGCAAAGCCCCTGTTTTCCCCAGTGGTACATTTGCCATTCAGCACAGCTGCATATCTGTTTTACATCCCTGCACTTTGTTTCCTTTCTCTCCTACTCTGCCTTAATCAGTCCTGTGTTTCCATTCCTCTTATTAGTATTTCAGACCATTTCTAGTGCCCCCTCCTACACCTTCACAGGCATTCAGGTGCTATCCTGAGCCACCGCAAGCTCTTTTCCTGTCTTTCTCCCCCTTTCCCCTCATCTGTTTTTCTCCTCCTTTGAATTTTCCCTGACATCCTCTCTCCACTACCTTACTCGTGTTTTCTCTCCTTCTCGTCCCTACACCACTCCTTCTCTAGCTCATCCCCCTGTTCCTCCCCTTCTGTGATTGGTAAAGGTTTTTGCTTTTTCTGCCAACTGCTGGGTCTGTTCCGCATAGTCAGCACTCCTTCAAAATTCCTCCCTTGCCTTCTCTTTCTCTCTTTCTCTAGTGTGCGCACTCCTCCCCTCTCCCGGTTACTGCTGCTAGTACCTCACGGTCTATGCATCCCATAATCCCATGCTCCCTCCCCCTCTTGCTGCAGTGTTTCTGCTAATATATATTAGCGTCAGTGCAGCTTTCGTGCACACAGTGTGTGCATGTTCTTCCTCCCTCAGCCCCGTTCTCTCCATCTGTTTGTCCACTGCAGAAATGATCTCCTTTTTCTAAAGATTTATTTTGATTAAGCCTCATTTTTGTTTTCTTAGCCTGTAGGTGAGTGTTGCATCTCCCTCCTTCCTTCTCGCACTCTCTCCCCTTGTGTGTGCAGTGGTGAGGCAGTAGTAGCAGGGTGGCGCAGGACATGGTGGCCAAGGCAGGAGGTGCTGCAGGAGAGAAAAAGAGAGGTGATGGCGGGGAGGGGATGTTCATCCTCTCTGCTCTTCTGCCTGCTCCCCCTTCTCCTGCTTCTTGCCCAGTTTTTGTCCTCTTCCTCATGTACTCTCTCTCTTTCTCCCTTTGTTCTTGCCTCTATGCTTTTTTCATCTCCACTGGATCTTGACTTCCCTCCTCCATTTTACACTTGATGCTTACCTTCTGTAGCCCCCCCGACCTCTCCTTCTTGTGCTTCTCCCCTTGCTCTGCGGTGTTTTTTTTTTCTCAAGCAATTGCACTGTCAGTGATCAAAGTGCTGAGGCCAGCTCTTAAAGTGATGTGCCTACTTCCTCTATATTAAACTATAAACTGTAGACACTATCCTGAAATGCAGCTATAAAGCATGCAACTCATATTCACTCAAGTAATCTTTCTCACAAACTTCAGATTTTAAAATCTAACAAAGTAATTAATTCTGAACAAATATAGGAAAACCCCAGCTGTGCCCTGACCCAATTAACCTCTAATTGAATTGTGATGCATGGTGGAATACTTATTTATAAAATCCATAAGCTCACTATGCATGACTGTGGGGGAGAAAAAAGGCATTTGGCCACAGTTACAGGCTTGTAGATGGAAGAGGCAGAGAAAAAGTTTAGCATCCTGGTAGAGGGAGTTTGTCCCAGAGAGAGAGAGAAAGAGAGAGAGAGAGAAAGAGAAAGAGAGAGAGCTCCACTGTCCATGGTGCTGAAATCGAATCCATGCTACAACACAAGCAGTTCCTGCAGGAAAGCCCCACAGGACAATGCTGAGTCTGAATAAAGATCTCCTCACACTCTCTCTGCCTGACCTCACTTCCATATAGTTTGTTTCAAGATGTTTAAGTTTCTCATTAAATGCTGCAAAGATTGTGAACTAAACTGCTTTGGCATAACGATGCAGTGCAACTCTCAAACTCACAAGCTCAGGATTTTTTTGTCAAGCAAGCAGATTTGATGCTTTGCAGCAAACATTTCAAAGCCTGGGGGGAAAAAAAGTAGAAAACGGAGGAATTTCACATTTAAGTTACTAGATTTTTTTCAGATTTGAGTGTATACATTATTTTTTTGTCAGCTGTGTGCAGTATTAAATATTTCTGTTTTGATTGTTTACTCATGCAGTAGCCTTGATCTTAGTAGATCTTACCTGACTGTTGTTAAGTCTTTTTCCAGGATCTTCATTACAAAAAGGTGTGATTTTCATACCAAGAAAGGCAAAATAATAATAATAATAACAATAAACTTAATGTTAATATAAATCTAAAAAGAAAAGAGAGAAAACTTTTCCATGAACAACAAAAAAGTTTCTTCAGATAAACAGTACAGAACAATAGAGTAAACACAAGTAACATAAAAATAAAATACAATACAAAGCAAAAGTTTGAGGAAAAAGAAGAGGCTAGAGCTGACCCAAAGTGAAGGAATCTTACTTTGGGATGTCGGAGGCAAAAGAGGAAAGAAATGAAGGAACAGGGGCGCATTAGAGTGAAATGCAGTGGAGGAAAAGTGTAACAGAAAGAGGCAGAAGCAAAGAGAGCGAGAGAGAAGGGGGGCACTAGATATGAATAAGAGTGCTGTGAGAGGAGGAAGCGGAAGAAGAAGTGGAACCTCGATTCTCCTTCAATGAAATGTGATTCCTTTATGCGGAATATGAGAACGAGGGAGGGAGAGAAAGTGAGGGAGAGAGGAAGGAGAAGGGGAGGGCTGGTGAGAGCTCACAGGTGAGGAGGGGGAGGAGAGGAGAGTGGTGCATTTCTTTGAATAGAGAAAAAGGTTAACAACAAAGATGTGGTGCGTGTATAGACTTTTTTTGTGTGTTGCTGTGAACGCGTGTCTTTTCTGAAGCACGCAGCTCGCGGGCAAACAATCTGACCTCGCCGGGAGAAGGAGAGAAAATGACTGGCTTTATACTGCAGCACAATTCATTCACTTTTATAGTGCGCTCT